AGAGTTGGGGTGCTACCCAGCATGTTTTAGCCGGTTTCCTGCTCTCACGTCTAAAGTTTGCAGGGGTCTCTGCTCCAACACACCAAATTTTACTCAGTAGGCGATTAACAGGCTTCTGCAGAACTTAATGAACTGCTGAAAAATGGATTGAATCAGGTGTGCTGGAGCAGGGAAACAACTAAAACATGCTGAACAAATAAGTCAGTTAATTTTATTTATATAGCATTTATCACAGACAGAATATCACAAAGCACTTCACATAGATCAAAACAAAACAAAGCATAAAGTCATAAATCAAAATGAGCTTAGTACCATGAAATAAATGAAAGATGATTACAAATTTGAGTTAAAAATAAGAAAACAGAAGGTTTAGCTAAAAGCAGCTTTAAATAAAAGGGTCTTTAGCTGTTTTTTTTAAAAGTGTCCAGACTGCCAACGCTGCGTAAGGATAAAGGAAGATCATTCCAGAGTCGGGGTGCAACAGTCTGGAAGGAGCGATCACCTCGACTTTTATATCTGGTCATTGGAACTTCTAGAAGGTTCTGGAGTGTGGACCTGAGGGCTCAGGTTGGAGCATAAGGCTTTAACAGTTCAGTAGTATAGGGAGGAGCTTGACCATGTAGAGCCCTGAAAGTTATAATCAGGATTCTAAAATGAACTCTAAAGTTAACGGGTAACCAGTGCAGAGACATCAGAATAGGAGTGATGTGAGCTCTTCTGTTTGCTCCTGTTAGGAGCCTCGCTGCAGAGTTCTGGACCAGCTGAAGGTGGTCAAGGGCTTTTTTGTGAACATGTGAAGAGTGTGTTACAGTAATCTAGACGGGAGGAGATAAAGGCATGGAGAACCATTTCAAGTTCGTGTTTTGACACCAACCTTCGCAGTTTGGAGATATTTCTTAAAGTGAAAAATACAGTTTCAGACCAACGTTTTGAGTGGCCTTCAAGAAATAAGCAGCCCTTGAGGACCAGGGTTGGAGACCACCGGCCTAAAAGTCACACCTGCCTGAGTGACTTGAACTAAATGCTGCCATCCACTAGCCAACTTATAATAATTATTATCATCAGGTCTTATTTTGTCCATCTAAATATAATGTGAGATAAAAGTAGTACTAAATTCCACGTTTAGAAACTTTCCACATGACTTCATAAAACTGTTCATTTTGATGTGATGCATGAACGTGTTAGCTCTGATCGAAGGAATCATGGAGATGAGCTCAGAGACAATCGTGTTGTGGTGGAGTCTTTACTCACTTGTCCTTGGGGTCCTCAAAGCCCTGAGAGAGGAAAAAAAGGAAAGAAAAAGATGAAGATTAGCTGAAAATGCCATCAATGGTGCTACCAATATAAACACGGCTCAAAAGTTCCTGAGAGCGAACCGTCAAAACTGTTAAAGATGCATAAAAAGATTTTTTTATACAAACAGTTTAATGATCTAATCACAAGGAGTTACTGAAGAGAGATTGTTTGTGTGTGTGTGTGTGTGTGTGTGTGTGTGTGTGTGTGTGTGCGTGTGTGTGTGTGTGTGTGTGTGTGTGTGTGTTTGTGTAATCCTTCCATATTTATATTAAAACATTCTGGCTTCATCATAAAGGAAGTGAAAGATCTTATTGTTCAAAGATTCTGAGCATTAATATCAAATTAACATTGTTATTTATGTTCACGTAAAATGATGCTACATAACTTTCTGAGATTCTCGACAATCATAACTTTTTCTAAATGTTTAAACAAAGCATTTTAATTTCCTACACATATACATTTATTTTGTAAACTGTGCTGAAGTATTGATTGCAGCATGTTCAGCACAGTAATAACAACCAACCAGCATCATCACCTGTAGTATTATAACAGGAGTAACAGTGATTCAGAGACCTGGTCACATTGTTTAGTCTGAGTAAACGGAAATTAAAGGCAAGTAAAAAAAAAAATCCTGGTAAAAAAAAAAATCAAAAATACAAAGAAGAACAAAATATATAGCATTTTTCCTGACCTGGGCATTAAAAATAAAAACTGTTATATAAAACACAGTTTTTGAACGGGAACTAGGCAGTTTGGGCTGTTTTAGCACCCCCTAGTGTCCATTTGTAGAACCAAAAGCAAAATCTGTCTTCTCACTGTCTAACAGCTGAAATGCCTGCCAGCCTTTCTTAGTGTCTACAGGAGTGGTTGATCACTAAGTTAAACAAATCAGCTAAAAGGTGCAGGAAACGTGCTGGAAGCAGACTGCAGCGCCAGGTATGTCAGCTCATTCTTTATTTTAGGAGCCAACAGAGCAGCGGCCAGGCTGAAGTTGCAAGTGGAATATTCTGGCCACAGGGGGCGATAGGGGCTTGGTGGCCTTTCATTAATGCTGCATATAGTCATTTTAGCACATACTGGCTCAGAAAATGATTTAAAAATATTACAAAATTGCTAACTATCTCTTTAATGATGATTGTGAACATGTTACGAGCTATTTAACTGTTCCACAGATAATGCTTCTGAAGCTCCTCCTGTAGGTCAGACATGTAAACAGCTTTTCTAAAAAGGAACTCCTGCAGCTGCATGGAAGGTCTGATGTAAGAACAGCAGAATATTTCCACTTTCTCTCCTACAAACATTTGCTTGTAGCAGAGAGGAGGTGAACTGACAGTAGAAACATTTTATCTGCCTGGATAAGAAAAGCCAAAGACATCCTCGCCCACCCAGATCCTCACCTCCAGATGTTTGAGGATTATTTCTGCAGCTTTTGTTTTATCTTCAGAAGCTGCTGCTTTTTTGTGGATGTAAGGGATAAAAGCTTGTATAAAGGGTGTGTGTGCAAATCGTTATTACGCAGAAGTTTATTCGTACTCTTCATCAAAAGGACACTTTTAAACAGTCTGCTGTCAGGTGTTGCTGCTGAAGATTCAGCAGGTGGCGCTGTTCTCTTCTCCTTTTTTCCCGTCACATCTGATCACTTTAGCTCCCCCTGCACGGCCTCATGCAGGTCACATGAAAACATGAACTAGGAATCATGAAAAATCATTTATGTGGAAATCCCACCCCGATCAACGTCTCTTCGTTACATCTCAGTTCCCTCAGCTACATCAGAATCCTTTTCCTATAAAAAGGAACAGTTAAACATTTCCACCACCATGTCAGCGTTCATCAGGCTGTTGGTATGAGCAGAGCAGCTCACGGGTAGAAGTCATCCCAAGTACAGCAGCAGATGTAACCGTTAGTGGTAGCTGGGTTGGGGTTTTTATCGTGTGCAACACTTTGAGGAGAATCCTATAAATCGTCCTACCGGCAAATAAAAGCTGGAAAAAGTAGGAATGCAAAAACAGAAGCTGGTGAAAGTACATCAGGATTCAAACCACACAACAAACAACATAATTAGCCAGTTAAATGGCAGCAGCGTGTTGCTTTCAGCATCAGAATGGGGCAGAAAGAGGACTTAAGTTGAGATGAACTGGTCAGAGAAGTTCAGAAACTATTGATCTACTGGGATTTAGACCCACGACCATCTCTGGGGTTTACAGAGCATGGTCTGATAAAGAGAGAATATCCAGTGATGTGTGGACAAAAATGTCTTGGTGAGGTCAGAGGAGACTGGTTAGACTGGTTCTAGAAGATGGAGAGTCAACTCAAGTTCACATAACCACTGGTTTCAACCAAGATCTACAGAATAACATCTCTGAACATCTATGTCCATCCCTTCATGACCATATGGACCTATCTTCTGATGCTACTTCCAGCAGGATCATGCACCATGTCACAAAGCTCAGATCATCTCTAACTGGTGGTAACAGGACCATGAGTCCACCGGACTCCAACGACTTCCACAGTCACCAGATCTCAGTCCAGTCCAGAACCTTTTGTATGTCGTGGAACGGGGGGTGGGGGGGGGGGGTGGGGGGGGGGGGGGATGCCATGTCAATGTGGACTAGAACCTCTGAGACATGTTTCCAACTACCTTGTTGAATCTGTGACATGAAGAAACAAGGTGGTCCATCCTAGTACTTAGGTGTACCTAATAAAATGTCTGTGCTTGTATACTGATGTTCTCACAACACATTAGTGAGTTTCCTCATCCTCAGCAGGTTTCACATTCACTTTAAGAGCTTCAGCCACAGTAAAAAAAAAAAACCATGAATCTGAATCAGATCACATCTCTGCCACAGCCTTTCTCCTGCTGCTGCTCTGGAGCCTCACTGCCAAGGTGAGGCGTGTCATGAGGGTCATCCTGCCACCAGGATGTCAGATCCGTGGATGAGTCACCAGCAGACACCACCAGTACGCTACACAACAAAAATCTGGGACATTTCTAGTCTAACATCTGCCTCTTTCGACATTTTCCTCACCATCCTTTTCATCTCCTTGGAGATCTGGTTGTAGAAAGGTCGGTCGGTCCAGTGGCCACTGTTGTGTGTGACAGAATTAGTTCTCTGTCGACTCATTTTGGCAATCAATGCCTTTTCTTCTTTCTGGGAAGGATAAAGATGGAGGAATTATTAAATGAAATCAAATATTATATTTAATAATAACAACAACACTTTTACTTTTCAAAAACAAACTTTTTTCATCTCTATGATGGATACTTCATCTCAATTATTTAGTAACCAGCGATGTAGCCAAAAGAGCAAAGCGCCAGATCACCTGATGGTGCTTTTAACGTAGCTGTAGGATGTGTTCATAAGAATACGAAAAACCACATTTTAAAATGCTGCCTCTGTCTCACATCACAGGCAGCTAAATGAAAAAAGGACATCACTTCACATGATGTGCTATCTATAGCCACAGCTTGTGACACTGCTGGGAGGAGAGGAACAGCTGATCACACAAAGTACAGCTGAAAAAAAGGAGATGAAGGAAATCTCTCAATAAAAATAACAAAACACACAAAGTCAGATATTTACAAATGTATATATTTTTAAATAAATGTGCAATTTTAGTCTTTTTAGCAGCAGCAGTGTCTGAGGGTTCCCTGCTAAAACTTCTGAAAATCTTTGTTTTATTTTGAAAAGCACCAGCTGCATGTGTGGTACTCACACTCCTAACCTCTGACCAAATAGCTGAGTGACAAATGCTGATTTTCAACACATTTTATAACCATCATGCCTCGCTGGGCTAATTATACGCTTTCACAGAAGTTGCAGCTTTTCTCCCTCAAGCCAGGGGTGGACTGGCCTATCTGGCATTCTGGCACTGTCCCAGTGGGCCGCTTAGCCATGTGGGCCACCTGCCCAGCTTGGGCCGTCCCAAACCAAGCCGCCGTCTCACATGCGGTTATAGAGATAAGTCCACGAGCAGCACACACAACACCCCGTCCCTCCCACCACATTTGGCGGGATAGACGAGTCGCGAGCAGCAACCTCCCCTGCCGAGGGCCGACGGTTCATGAAAATGCCAGGGCCAAAATTTGGTCCCAGTCCACCCCTGCCTCAAGCTGCAGGGATCTCAATTCAATTCAATTCAATTCAGTTCAATTCAATTCAATTCAATTCAAAGATACTTTATTAATCCCAGAGGGAAGAGAGATCAGACATACATACATAGACACATGACAAGAATTGGTGACTGTGGTCATTCACAACCCTGAGTCGTGCTACCTTAATAGAGATCAGAGGGTTTACATGAGGATTGGTTCAGGTGGAGGAAAAAAAAGGCACTTCAGAGTTACCCTCCACAGGGAGGGCAGCTTTGCTCTGCAAAAAACACCTCAGACAGAAATGCAACAGACCTCAGACATCACACAACATAAGTGTCCACTAGGTGGGCAGGTAGGGTTGGGGACTACCCTCACATCAGTGCATGCAGCCGTGATAAGCAGCGCTCATCACCTCTGTCTGGACAGGGGGAGGAGGTCGCTGGGTTTAGAGGGTACAGTGACTCCTGGAACGATTTGGCGGCCTTCACAGCCCGCAGTCCCGCCCAGGCTGGGATAGGGAGACAGAGTTGCCATGGCGATGGCAGCATTCCACATTCCTTCTGAGGGGGGAGTATTTGCTTCAGCCTGGCAGGCTCAAGGGCACAAGATTCAGATAAGAAATTGTTTTGGGGCCAGACAGAGATAATTCCCTCTCTGTCTTAAAGTTCCACTGGTCCTCAACCTCTCAAAATCCAATAATGGCTTAAATTAATCTACCCCAGTCCGTGCTGATTCGTCCACTTGCCCCTTGATGGCATCCATCTTTTGTGCCAGAGTCTGAATCTCAGCCAAAGTTCCAAGCTTACGACTCATCTCGACAATTATATGAGTCTGTGCATTCACAGCGTGGTGTAATCCATCCCTGAGCTCCGGGAAAGAGCCAATATTCCTCGACAGCTCGTTAATTTTCCGGTAAGCCAGGTAACCTCCCAGGCCAATGAGCAGGAAACCTGACACCAACACCACGAATATCCATACATCTTCAGAACAGACAGTTGAGAAAGGCAGATCAAGTTCCACTGTTTCCAGGAGTCCATGATGTGCCCAACTGGATCTGTCCCAGAGGGGCACCCGGGAGCCCCTTCTCCCATTCTCATCGTTGAGAAAATTTTGTCAATCGCATTGAGAGACCAGCTGACCAGGTCCATTTTTAATAATTTCCAGTTTCCAGAAAAAATGCAGAAGCGCCGTACATCCAAAGACAGACAAAGAGCCTTGGGGATAAGATAGGAAGGAGAGGAGGAAAAAAGCGTCTGTACTCTCCAAGAGCCGGAAGAAGATCGTAAAACGTTCCTTCCGAGTTTGATTTCTGTGGGCCAGAAACGTGAGGAAGCACCAGTTAAAAACATAAAAAGTATTTGTGTCTGATCATGTACCCTTTTCTGACTGCAGCCCACTATCAGATAGGTTTCTATGTTGTTCTTCTTCAGGTAGGCATTTCTCTCTCCTCCTGCTCCTGGCTCCACATCATAGTCCCCATTTAAGTAATTCAGAGTGGCCTTGGTGATATGGATGCGCCTGAAAGGACAGAAAACCATCAGGACATGTTCTTTATTCATGCAGAGCGTTATTAAGACCAATCCTCTTCAAGAGGAACAGCCCTTTTACATGTATCAGATTCATCGATAGCTTAAACCAAAGCTATACGTACCCAGCTTGGCCTCCAGCTTCCATCTGATTAGCTAGTGTGACATCATTGGACCAGACATCAAATTGCCACTTCCTGAGTCCCAGCACCCCACAGTGCACCCTGCCACTGTGGATCCCAACTCGCATGTTCACATTCACCCCAGTCACCTCTCGTACCAGCCTGGAAACACAGCAGAGAGTGAAAAGAGTCTAACTTCACCCGTACTCTAAAGGCTTGATTCAGAAACACAAAACATGTCATTTAGATGAAAGGACTCAAACAGGATGGCCAACGAGTCCTGAAGAAGACCAAAACACACTCAGACTAGATCAATCGGACTAAATCAGTAATCATCTTTAAAATGAGGAATTAAGAGTTTATTTTATTCTGACTAATTTAAAGTACTCGTTCAAGCAGGTTTGAAGAGCTCAGATGGCCCCAGCACAAAGTCAGGTTGAACTCCACCTGATCTGTTGTTTATCTCTGACCCTGTTCGTGGGACATGATCTAGACACTGAGAGAAGGATGCGTGGTCAGAGAACCTCTGTGTCCCATCATCCTGTGTTTCTGCTGGCGCCTTCGTGATGCGACCTTTAGCGAGTCCTGGGGCGGTCTGCAGCTGAGTGTGAAGCAACTGGAATGATAGTCTACTCCTCCACGAGTGAGGCCATGATTCTTCCTGGGATGGGAATGGCTGTGCCTCAAATGGAGGGAATCAGGTATCTCTGTTTGTTGCTGTGGAGCCAGAGATGGTTTAGGGTTTCATCTGCAGTAATGATGGCTCTTTGGTCTGTCAGGGTGAGGAAGCTGAGTCAATAGGTAAAGCTGTAAATTTTGCCACTCCATCTATTTTCTGAACTCATCTACGGTCATGAGATGTGAATCCTGACAGAAGGAATGAGATACGAGCTGCTCAAATGAACTTCTTCTAATGACCCTTTGCAAGTGATGTCACACCACTCATGTGACCACCCCCTTCGTCATGATGGACGGCAAAAAGACCGTTTACACCCGTTGAAACTCCAGTGAAGCTAGTCAAAACAAACCAGCTGGTAGCCTTTTATGGCTTTTATTTAGTTGATTTGACAGTAAAATGGTTTTAGCTTGCTGCGTGGTTGGCTGCACTAAGAGACAAGGACGTAAACTCAACTCGTTTTGTTTTTTTAATAACTTTGATGGAGACTGAGGACGGAGATGAACTGCAGCGATCAATCAAGCGGACTAGCAGCCCTCAGATTTGCAGTGAACATGTTTTTACCGGGTAAGATTAACGTTAATTTATTTCATGAGGAAGACAGGGACAGGGATAAATGTGATGTGTTTATACAAGTTATTGATAATTCTGATGGATGGGTATTTCACCACGGAGGCTGAGCTCCGTCCACTGTAGTGTAAAGCGAGACAATTATTAACAATATTAAAGCTCCGATGTATGACTACGTGTGTTAACCCTTTGATGCATAACGGTCACTACAGTGGACAGGTACTCAAAATAGTTATTTATTTGTTTTTGCTATTAAGCACAGCTGTTGAAGACTTTATTGCATTTGAGGCCCTCCATTTGGACTTCAGTAAGCCAAGCCAACATATTTCATGTTCAGAATGCACGCTGTCCACTGAGGTGGACATGTAATAAATTATTTGTAAATTATAAAATTTTACAAAAAATATTTGTTGAAATTTGTTTCATTCACACCTAAAGATGAATGAAAAAAATTGTTAAAAAAATCATAGTTGAAGATTTCATAATTCATGCATCAGAGGGTTAAAATTACATTATTTATTCATATGAGCATCAGTGTTCAGAGATCTTCTCATTCCGGTGTGAGAGCAGCAGCTGAACCTGGTAACACCACCAGCAACAGAAGCTGATGGGGATCCGGACTTTTTAAAAATCAGCTTTGGTGTAAAGTAAAACGCTGGATTTATAACTTAAGTTATAAATCCAGCGAGGTGAATTTAGGCAAAGTCAGCAACATGTTTACATCGGTGAACAGCTGCAGAGAGAACGTAAGCTAACGTTGGTAAGCTAGTTAACATACCGCTCTCTATGAGCCCCCGCTAGATGCGCTACTTCTTCTGATAACTGATGGGCACGAACTAGTTGAAGGAATGCTGGAGGAGTTTTGTTTATGTTTTGATCGCAAAAACAATTTCAGGCTCTACTTTTCCCTTTGTTGAGTACTCGTGTTGCTCACTGTTTACATGTTTTTGCCATCCAGCATGGTGAACCCACGTGATTAGGTGACGTCGGTGCAAAGTGTCAATAGGAGCTAGCTTTAGCCTCATTTTCAGCTAGCTCTTACACAAGAAAATACATCAGCCAAACAGGAATGATTGTTAATTGCAGGTTTTTCAACTGGAATTACTTGTTCTACAGCAAAAACACCATTTATGTGACGCACTACTATAAAATAGTCAAAGTTAAGATGTTTCATTTCATGTTCCGAGCTACGAGATGGGCATACAGGTAAAAAAAATCATCTAAAAAATCATATTTGTGTAACTTTTATTTGAATCATCTTTGTGTAACTGATGTGTCTTGTTGCACTTTAGATTTACTTTCTAATCTGTAGTATTTTAAGCTATGAAAGGTACAGTTTCCAATTAAGCTACAGTGCACCACAGATTCAGACATAAGACACATTTGAGAACCTAATCCTTCTGGATTCTTTGTGGCTGAAGAATCAGAATCATAGAACTTACGAGATGGCCTCTATCATGTCCAGCCCCATCTCCACGCAGCAGTGAGCATGATCCGCCCTGGCCTCCGGCAGACCAGACACACAGTAGTAGCAGTCTCCCAGGATCTTGATCCGCAGGCAGTGGTTCTCCTACCGCATGAAACACAGACACAAGAACAAGAGAGGAACGCTTACTGGACATAAACATCAGCACACATTTCACAAAAACTGCCAAAAACCTGAACTGTCCGGGTGTGTCTTTGCTAGGGAGGACTACACTGTTCATGTGTGTGTGTGTGTGTGTGTACATACAGACGGTACATCTGGCATGGAGATAAAAGTGTGAGTCTCAACATCTCTTGTTTACAACACTATTATGCACGTTTTGCTCATAAATAATGATCATCATTTCATCACTGCACCTTTCATAAACAAATTACACAATGTGTGTTTTCTAAACAAACAATAACAATTAGCTGTAAAAAAGCTCAATCAATATTCATGATTTACATCTTTAAGGAAACTGTTTTAATAGACTTTACATAACAGTCTAAACAGTCTCTGGTATGATTAAAAAAATCTAAATAGAATAGAGTTTCTCACTGAACACAAGTTTAAGCAAAACAGGATTTTATTTTTAACATTTCAACGTTTCAAGGAAAAAAAACACACACACACACATACACTATATATATATATATATATATATATATATATATATATATATATATATATATATATATATATATGGCTAAAAAGTCACCCCCAATCAACTTTGTCTACTGGACACGTGTAGTCAAAAATTTGGCACTTTAGTGCTGTCACGGAGCAGGTGAGGCGAGCGGTCGCGGTGAGGATCCAAATGCAGGGGAGAGAAAGGCAGGCTGATGAGGACATTCAAAGGGTTTTTAATAAGAAGCACGCAGACACTGAAACAATGAACAGGAGCACAGAACTGGGAGGGTTTGAATACAGGAAGATCTGGGACCTGGAGTAATTGGGAGACGAGCGGCAGGTGGGAGCAGTTAGTAAAGACACAGGACTGAACAGAGAATGGGGAGACAGGGCAGATTGTATGATTTCATATGATGTCACAGTTAGAGCTGGGTATTGATTCAAATTTTCGATTCAATTCTGATTCTCAAGAATTAGAATCGATTATCACGATCTGACTTGATCCGATATATTGGGTCAGCGAACTCTTCTTTTTTTGCTGTTACCTTAATTACATGACTGTGTAGTTGTGTAGTATGTTACCATTATTAACATTCAACAACACATGATTGAAATATTGGCAATTTAGAATGGCTGAATGGCCCAATCCTTCTCTCAGAATTGTGCTTTTCATAAACAAGCTGTCAAGCAGAATTAGCAAACAGATCCAGGACAGCCAACAGAGGAAGTAAGAAGTATCAGTAACTGCATCAGTGGACTAACCTGGCAATGCTCCATTGAGGGGTCTCGGTCGAGGGGCGGGTCCTACCATTGTCTTTCAAATGAGCTCATGCTACTGTATAATGAACAACGTGAAGTACTCAATGTAACAGATGTCGGTAAACGAGGTAGTCTGCTGTTGAAGAAGGTGAAAATACATCCTTTTTTCTAAAAAAAAGTACTTAAATACATCTATCTGTTCCTCATTCTAATAAAACCCAAGTCCAAATAGTCCAAAATTGATGTAAAAGCTGTTTCAAATGAGCTGTCGCCATCTTGTTCCACTCTGTTGCATCACCCCGCCCACGAGATGAATAGAGGGTCCTGGTTACCCCACAAAGCAGATAGAGTGCTGTGATTGGTCCACAAAGCAGAGTGCTGTGATTGGCCCACTGTTGTGAAGCAATCACAGTTCCCTAAAGCCGGGCGTACACTGTGCGACTTTTTCACTTTTTTGAGCCGATTTTCCACTCGTGTGAGAATCCACAAGATCGGGGCGAGTTTTGCGCTGAGCGTCGTGTAGTGTACAGGGGGTTACGAGAGGTGACCAGCTACTGATCAGCAATCGTGAGCTCGCACGGACTTCTGGAGTGTTTGTTATTTTGCTCGTTCCTCGTGAGGGTATCGCACTGTTAAAGCAGCGCAGCGAGCAGCTGCAACTCAAAAAATACCAGAACCGCTCACAGCGCATGCGCAATCATGCGTCAACACCGTTTTAGCTCCATTAGCCTTACTGTCTTCATGTGCAGCACAGACTCTTTCTGACTGTATGAGTGAATATCTTCATCAGAGAGACAGTTCTTCTGAATCAGAGTCAGTCTTTAGCAGACAAAGAGATTCAACAATGACCAGATCTGTCAGCATTTGTAAGTTTTTCCCTTTAATATTCACCCTACGTGCGTGTGTTTCTCCTCACCCGTAACCGGCAGATTTCAAGCTCTAAAAACTCAGAAACTTTCAATTTAAACACAAGTGTTGCTCAGACTACTGATGATAGACAGCTCCACTATCTTCTGGTGTGAAGTAGTAACTTCAAGGGGGATCATATTTGCAGCCGTGGCTCATTAAATTCAGCAGTGACATCTTTGTATGTACAAATCGATCCTCATGAATATTTATGAGAATCGATTCAGAATCGAAGAATCGGTTTTTTCAACACAGCCCTAGCCAACGCTGCTGTGAGCCTGTGTGTGTGTTTGTGTAGCCACCGTAAATGGTCTGTTTTTCCATCCACAGGTCACTTCTTCAGTCTCGGGTCACATGGAGACATAAGTCTTAACTGGGGCTTTAATTTGCAAGAAAGTGTTGTCGCCGAAAAACAGAAATGCCCACAAAAGATACTGTGCTTGCCCAAGCTCCCTCTTATCTAAGACTGCTTTGCTTCACAGGACAAGACGGATGAACTTTCATAATTACATTATATAATGAACAAGATGAGTAAATAATCATATGGTTGAATGAACAATAATGGTTGAAGAATAATAACAATGTTTTGATTAATCTGTGCTTAAATTATTGAGGTTGAAATGAATATTAATATGTTATGATCGGTAAAGTTAGATTTAACAAGTGAACCACCTTCTACTGACAGCTCACACACTCAGACACGTGACGATGACAAGGTTAAAATAATATGACACATTGCTTTCTGTTCCACCAATCAGAACTCCTGTATCTGATGCAAGGTGTGTTTTCTGAGGTTTGTTGGTAAAACCCTTTTTACATGTCAAATTCTGATTTGTTATTAAATCAAAATATGTCGATTGTTAAAACAAAGCTCACTTCACCGTGAGTCAGTTCTTGAGAAAGCTTTGGACCGGCCATCCGGAGCAAAACCTCTTTAACCCAGAGCTTCTTTTGACAAGCTGTCAAAAACCTGTTGCACGCTACAAACCGTTCCTTCAGAATAAAGCTTAACCACCTTCGACTCCTTAAGAGTCCTTCCATAGACGCAACTACCCGTTGTGACCTGGAGACATCCTGAGACCGGTTTAGTCGCACTGCGGTTGCTTCTACGGACTTCGGTACCTTTGGGATCTACGGACTCCCTAACATTCCGGGTCTACCACGGAGGGTCTTCGAGCTGGTACGACAGATTGTGTCTGATGAGGTTTTATAAACCATCAACTTATAGTTTATAGCAGACCAAATTCACTCCCACTGTGAACCCAGAACTCAGTTTCTTCAGATACGAGGGTTCTGATGACATCACATTTAAACATCATCACACCTCACGTTCCATCCACTTAAATTCATTCATCACATAAAGTGTTTCCTACTTGTCATGTTTTTAATTGTTTAGAAAATAAATTTCTTACTTTTTATAAACTTGACTCTCTTCTTGAATTAATGAGAAGTGTCTGACAATACCTGAATAAACAAAGAATTCTAAATCCTCTGGTTAAACATTCAAAGACCAATCAGACTGGATTTCCATATTTATATAGAAATTCACATCTTATTTGTCAAAGTGTATTGTAGTATATTGAGCTTTAAAAGCACCCAAAATACATAAGTATGCTAATCCTACATGTGTTTGTTAGCAGCTCCGCCCTCTCGGTCTGCCAGGCAACACCCCCTGGTGGCCAGTCTTTCAAACAGGAAATGGGAGTGGAGTTAGACTCTGGTATGGGGTGACTTGCTGTTTAATGAATAATGTATGGATATGGAGAATGTTTTTTTCTTTGCTGCCACTATTACTGTGGACAGCTTGGCACAGCTGTGATTTAATAATCAAATGGCTAGTCAAGGCTTTCAACACAGACATGGCTAAAAATGTAGTGACCTATTATTAAACAAAAGCATTAATATTAATTTGAAAAACTTGAAACTGACAAACATTGATAAATAAAAATGTACTTAAACTCAGCTGATGAAAATCAAGCATTGAATTTGATCCGTGGTTTTTCAATAAATAAATAAATAAACAAACACTAATGACTCATGGTCTGGATACACAGAAAACAATTAGACCATGTAGAAATGCTGAGCTGAGGTGCGTCTTAAAAGTAACCTCACTGGTGTCTTCCATCTTGTTCTGTCTGCTTGTTCAAAGAGTGAGATGTAGTCACAGTGCTGTTTGGTATCTGGGTGTGTACCATACTGAACACAAATCACGGGAGTTTTGATTAACTGTTGACCTGATATGTTAAAGGGAGGTTTAGAAGACCATCTCCAAGCAGGCTGATGTTCTCCTGACAGCAGGACCTATTCAGAAGGTTGGGGTCTGTTGAAATGTGGCTTCAAAATGAAAATTATTGACAAACTGAAGATACTGTGTGTACGCGCCGTCTTCGACCCTTTGAACAGCTCTTTGGAACATAAATGCTGTTTTTATATATGTGCTATATTTAAATCATGAGAATTAGATTGTTTCCAAAAGGGAATCAGTTGTAGTATCCAGTAAAACACACACACACACACACACACACACACACACACACGCACGCACACACACACACACACACACACACACACACACACAGGCAATCTGACCTGAAACTGATGTCACAAAGAAGAACACCTGAGGAGGGTTTCACAGCAACTCGCTGCTTCAATGAGTCATGTTTCAGTAGTGTTATCTTTGTTCCACTTGTTATCTAAACAGCAATTATTTACTCCTGCAATGGTTGAATTACGATTTATCCTGAAAGGACTAAATACTGAAAATGATATTGAGACAATACGACAACATGCAGTCTAAAGAACAGTTTTTAATGTTACAAGTGCATGAATGTGATTGTGTCCTTACCGCAGCCAGCTTGTCAAAGCGTGCAAAAAGTTCATTGAGGGTCATCACCAACTCCTGTGCTGTGCACTGTGATGCCAGACTGGTGAAACCCTCAATGTCTGCAAACAGGATGCTGCAAAACACAAGAGAGGTAAAGCTCAGTTTCATCTCTTCTTTATGCTTTCATGGGCAAATTTTTCACACCCAGAACTTTCAAATGTAAACTATAGGCATAATCTAAAAGCTCTAAAGAATCATAATTGTGACATAATGGTTGTTTATAGCTTATTGAAGTAGCCATTAATACAGGAACTCTGGTCCCTGGTCAGCGGCACAGAACAGAGTGTTGCTGAAAAGTTTTCAGGAGTCTGAATGTTCTGTCCACACAGTTCAGTAACCTAACTTGTTATCTTTGTGAACAAGAAATGTAAAAGACATACAGTAGGGCAAAAAGGCATAAAGAATTCATTTGCAAATTAAGGTAGAAAATAAGTATTTGGTCAAAAACGATACTTTCTTTTATACCCATTGTTAGCATTGACTGAAATCAAACGTTTTCTTCCCAGCCTCCAGACACTGTTGCAGGTATTCTGGCCCATTCCTCTCTCCTCTAGAGAAGAGATGTTTTGGGGATGTTGCTAGGCAATACAGACTTTCAACTCCCTCCAAAGATTTTCTATGGGGTTGAGATTTGGAGACTGGAAAGGCCACTCCAGGACCTTGAAATGCTTCTTATGAAGCCACTCCTTCGTTACCCCAGCGGTATGTTTTGGATCATTGTCAGGAAAGACCAGGCCCCCAATGCGGCTCAAAAAATGAAGCAATCCCGAAAATACCAAAAATTGCAGTTCCACCCTCATCCGCTGGGGGCTGGTGTCAGAAGCGAGCAAATCCTCATTGACTCCCATGTTAAAAATACCAATTTCACAGCAGAAATAAACATGTTTACAGCCTGGTACCAAAACATGTTTTTGGTTTAAATTATCTAGTTTACACTCATGACAACTCTGAGGGGGGTGAATTTTTTCTCACTCTTCTGTTTAAGTTTATTAAAAGCCTAAAATTCTGGATAATTAATGAGCATCAGACCCACGTGACCACAGAGCTAGTGGAAAGGCCTCAGTAGAGCCTCGGTCTGGCTTGGAAACTGTTCCGGGATTTTGAGTGTCTGTGTTTGTGTATTCTGTTTTGGATATTCTTGTGCAATTGTTGGACAAAATGACTTGCTGTGGCATTAATTGCACTAATAGAGCATCCAAAGGAGTCTCCACTTCATTTTGTTCGGTAAGTAAAATTATATTTATGTATTTTAGGTCACTGCCGAGCTGAGCTTAGATTTTAACATGTACTGTGTAACCATGAAATTTAAATGTAATAGGGTAAAAGCCAGTGCATTTAACATAATGCTGCACTTTAGAAACTGGGTTGAAATACATGTTGGTGGAGCTGGGTTCCGACTATCGGCTTGTGGAGCTCTCGGGAGACCGATGTTTTCCACCCGGTTCTCCCCTCCCCGCAGCTCGGCGCATCTCTGTCTGATCGCGGCTTCTGTCTGCTGCGTGGGCTGCCGGTGTCGGTACAAGATCTGCTCGGGTGCAAGATCGGCTCGGGGTCCTACGACTGCCGATGACGTCAAAGTACGGCAAACCCACTCGGACAAAATACACTACACATCTATACTGTTGGAAAGAATTTAGCTGTTTCGTTATTAAAATAATGTTTCTTAAGACGTAAGGTTGTGTTTATAATGGTATTTGTAAAATAAAACACTATGTTGTATTCATAATGTTGAACTCCTCTTTGAGCACATCCCTTGAAGGATCATAGGTATTAGCAACACCTGTGAAATTGTATTTGCAGGAAAGAAGTGTGTCCCGTTAATTGAAGTATTTTGTGTTTAGTTTTTGACTTCTTGTCCATGCGTAGTCTGGAGTTAAAAGTTTTCTGGCTTTACTAAAGTACCTGTCTGTACTTATTTGATTGATGGTAGTTTTACTTTCTATTAGACTCCAAATGTAAAAATGGCACGTTTCTAATTCCTAATTTGTAATAATGTTATCGGTGATATTAGCATTAGCATTCCGATGGGTTTTTCCACGTATATTAGCATTGCGCTAACCACTCGCTGCCAAATTGCAGCCTTTGCGATTAGAAAATCTCCTTTTGTCACATCGCAATTTAATTGCACATGCAGTTAATCGTTCAGCCCTAATATACATGCAGCTCTATGCTAAAAGTGTATTTTCAAAGAGGTAATGATGGATTTCTTTGTAAAAGTTGTCCATCTTTCCAACAGAAAGATTTGCCTGGACCAACGTAACGTGATAACAATGTAACGTGATTACGTAATTCCGTAAGGTTCATGTTCAGCCAATCAACTACTTTGACGTCATTGGCAGTCGACGGACCCAGAGCCGATCTTGCACCCGAGCAGATCTTGTACCGACACCGGCTTGTGGTTCTCCCCTCCCCGCAGCTCGGCGCATCTCTGTCTGATCGCGGCTTCTGTCTGCTGCGCGGGCTGCCGGCTTGTGGAGCTCTGGGATGGAAACCTTTCCACCTGGTTCTCCCCAGCGGCAGCTCTGCGCATCTCAGATCGCAGCGGCGCTTGTCTGCTGTGCGGCTGCCGGCTTGTGGAGCTCTCGGGAGACCTCTGTGTTCCACCCGGTTTTACCCAGCGGTCAGCCCAGCGTATGTCTGACTCAGAAGCTCTGGTGTTGTGCACAGTTAACTCCGGTTGTAGCTAGGTAGCTACCTCCGTTAGCTTAGCTCCCACCTCCGCGTTAGCTTTGGGTTAGCTTCAGGTTAGCTTGTAGCTAGTTGACCGGGTGTTGTCAGTTGATCCCAGCCTTACAGCCCCACCCTCAGCTCCACCTCTCTTCCCTTTTGTGGAATTGTCTGTGCTTGACGGAACCTGTGACACGGTCAAAATGGCGGTGGTGGCCACCTCCCATTTATCTTCAAAAATGTGTTATTGGAGCCTATGGAAACCCATTGTCCAATATTTATATGTCGATGGGAAAGACCCAGCCACGTTTCACCTTCAATGCCCTTGATGGAAGAGGTTTTCACTCCAAATCTGATGATACAGGGCCCCATTCATTCTTTCCTTTACACAGATCAGTCATCCTGGTCCCTTTGCAGAAAAAACAGCCCCAAAACATAACGTTTCCACCCCCTTGCGTTACAGTAGGTATGGTGTTCTTTGGATGCAACTCAGCATTCTTTCTCCTCCAAACATGACGACTAAAGTTTTTAACCAAAAAGTTCTATTTTGTTTTCGTCTGACCATGTGACATTCGGACTTAATGAACGAAGACGGAATAGCGGATCATAATCTCCGACTGCAAGATGAGCAGAAACGGAGCTGTCAACTGATCACCACCTGGTGATGAGCTGGATCAGAGGGCAGGGGAAGATGATGCGCAGACCTGGTAGATCCAAACGTATTGTGAGGGTCTGCTGGGAACGCCTGACAGATGAACCTGTCCAGATGGTCTTCAACTCCTATCTCCGGCAGAGCTTTAACCGCGTCCACGCAGTAGGGGACATTGAGTCTGAATGGGCCTTGTTCCGCTCTGCAATTGTTGAGGCGATTGTTGCTAGTTGTGGTCGTAAGGTGGCCGGTGCCAGTCGTGGCAGTAACCCCTGTACCCGCTGGTGGACACCAGAGGTTAGGGGAGCTGTCAAGCTGAAGAAGGAGGCCTACAGGACGTGGCTGGTCTCTAGGTCACCAGAGACAGCAGACAGGTACTGGAGGGCCAAGTGAACTGCAGCAGTGGCAGATGCCGAGGCAAAATCTTGGGCGTGGGAGGAGTTTGGCGAGACCATGGAGAAAGACTATCAGTCGGCTCCAAAAAGGTTCTGGCAAACCATCCGGCGCATCGGGGAGGAAGGCAGCAACTTGCTCACACTGTTTACAGTGGTGATGGGGAGCTGTTGAGGTCAACTGGGGCTATAGTGAGGCAGTGGAAGGAATACTTTGAGGAGCTCCTTAATCCCACCGACATGCATTCCGAGGAGGAACCAGAGCTGGGAGACCTAGGGATGGACTGTCCAATCTCTGAGACAGAAGTCACTGAGGTAGTTAAACAATTATGCAGCGGCAGAGCCTCTGGGGAAGATGAGATCCGACCTTGGTATCTCAAGGTTTTGGATGTTGTAGGATTTTCTTGGTTGACACATTTCTGCAACATTGTGTGGTCATCGGGGTAGTTCCTGTGGAGTGGCAGACCGAGGTGGTGGTCCCAATTTTTAAAAGGGCTAACCAGAGGGTGTGTTCCAACTAAAGGGGAATCACACTCCTCAGTCTCCTGGGAAAAGTCTACTTCAGGGTTCTGGAGAGGAGGGTCTGGTCGAGTAGTTGAACCTCAGATAGAGGAGGAGCAATGTGGTTTTTGTCCTGAACGTTGAACTGTGGACCAGCTCTATAACCTTGCTAGGGTAATGGAGGGGTCATGGGAGTTTGCTCAACCAATCCACATGTGTTTTGTGGACTTGGAGAAGGCTTATGACTGTGTCCCCAGAGGCACCCTGTGTGGGACGCTCCAGAAGTATGGGGTGGATGGTCTTTTGCTAAGGGCCATTCAGTCCCTGTAAGTGGGACCTGTTCCCACTGAGGGTTGGACTCCGCCAGGGCTGCCTTTTGTCACCGTTCCTATTCATAACGTTAATGGACAGGAGTCAGTTGAGGTGGTTTGGGCATCTGGTTAGGATTCCTGCTTGACGCCTCCCCAGGGAGCTGTTTCAGGCATACCCTGCCGGCAGGAGGCCCCCTGGTCTACCCAGTACACATTGGAGAAAGTCCATCTCCAAACTGGTCCAGAAATGCCTTGGAGTCTTACTGGAGGAGCTGGTGGAGGTGGCTGGGCAGAGGACGGTCTGGAACTCCCTGGTTGGGATGCTGCCCCCGCGACCCGGACCCCGATAGGCGGAGGAAGACGAGGCATTTGGCATTCTCCCTGTTTTCTTCTGGTTCATCCAAATGCTCTCTAACAATCTTCAGACAGGTCTGCACATTTACTGGTTTGGTCTGGTTTAAGCAGGGGGACACGTCTGGCACTGCAGGATCTGCGTCCCTGGTGGTGTAGTGTGTTACTGATGGTAGCCTTTGTAACTTTGGTTCCAGCTCTC